TATAGCAAAATTAAAACATTACTAAATATTTATAACTAGAATTATAAGCACAAACAACAATTTTGCAACTTTAAAATTACACATATCAAAGTTTTTTTTCCAAATAACGCTACCTTTTGAGCGTAAAATTTTCGATTTTAATAAAAACTTTCATATTGTTTTAAAACAATTTCAGATAAACAAGACAGTAGCAATTCTTCACAAATTGTCCAATTATAATCTGAATAAGGAGTTACGTAAAGAGGTAAATAGTTACAACAAGATCTCATATAGAATTTTAATTATTCTATGCGTAATTTTACTAACTCTCATGAAAATTCACAAATTTGCACAAATTTCATCGAATAATTATGTACAAAGTTGGGACATTATAAAACAACAATTATGTTATTTGTTTATATATGTTAAGATACTTATACTAACATCATAGGATACGTATGTTAGAAAAAATTTTATTAATTATTTTTTATTGTATATGCAAAAGAATATTTGAAATTTATTGATATACTATTAATGTCTTATAAAATAAATATTTATGCATTTTGATACATAAAATAGAAAATATTTTATAAAACTTTTGCAATTAGTGTTACACATATAAGTAATCTAAAATATATAAAAGAATATACTATTAAATCCATAATGCTGAATTATATCCAATTGAGTTATGAGATCCATTTGAGTTATTTTCAATCATTTCTATAGATCGCCACTATTTTTCTCTCAATATGCCGTTAACTTAAATGAAATAATGAAATTAATTCAACAGAATCCGTGAAAATTTTTCTTGTAATTTTTATATGAATTGAACATTTTTCAGAAATACTCAGAAATATTCGGAAAGTTTATATCTTCTCTCAGAATTTTTTGTACAAATAAATTCTGAAATATTTTGAGATTTCTCATAATTTAAAAAAAATTTTTTAATTTTTTAGATTTTATAACATTTCATCAAAAATTATAATTACTAAAAATCTTAGAAATTTTACGATATTTCATAATTAACATATATTAAAAATTCTGAGAAAAGATATAAATCTTCTTAGAAGATTCCAATTCGTATAAAAAATGTGACCAAGTTATAAAATTACATAGAAATTCTGAAAAATTATATAAAAAATTCTGAGAAAAATTTTCATCAGAGAATATATTAAATTTGTCTAAAATTTAATTATTAATACAAACGCAATTTATTCTAAAACTGAAAAATGGATTAATTTTAACACATATTAAAGTTAAAAATAACAACATATTATTTAAATGATAGGGTTGCTCCTTTGATATTTAACAATTAATATACATTTAACGTTTTATAGTAGTGTCTTAATTTTTTACATGGTCATTTAATAGAATTTATGCGTGTTTCCGAACTTTCATGAAAGTATATCTAACGTTAGTAGTGTATATCTAACGTTTTATTCAATTATTTAATTTCAATTAGATTTTACAATTTATATTGCAAATAAAACTCAGGGAGGTAAAATTTGGCGTGGGATATTTCTACTATGGATATATTTTCATTTGCCAGGTATGTCCTACATTAAATAAAATTGTAAGCATGTAATAAACATGTAACATACAATAAAACAGACACTTATATATCAAGCTTGCAAATTACATAAATATCTAAATGGCAACATTATATTGGAATCACTTCTTAATTTTATTTATTTTTCATTGTTATTTTGTCTAAAAATCTTCTTTTACATTTTTGTTTTAAATAATTCAACACAAATATTTTCATTAAGTATAATAAAAGTATATTTCTTCAGATGTACAATGGAGTTTTAGTTACCTTAATGACTTTAATACAGGTACATAATTCATAATACAGTGCAACAAGAAAAATATTTCAGAAGTGTAATAATACGTTTCCTCAAAATTATTTCTCGCTGAACGTAATACCGTTTGCAGAATTTGCTTAGCACGTCAGAATTTTGAGTAAATTGAAATGAAATGGTCCAAACATGGTTATTTGTAACATTTTTTGCGGCAAAAGAAGAACTGGTCTCTAAATAAATTCAACACCTGAAAGTATAATTCAAAAGCTTTCGAATGAATTTTTGTTCACGATCATACGACATTTTTACGACATTCATAAAGTTATGGCTATTTAAATTTTAGACTTTCGATAAAATTTTCAAGAAAGTTACATTATATTTATGCATGATATTGATGCATGTGTGTATGTGCGTGTCTGTGAGTGGCTAAAATTGTAAATTTATGAAATGTTACAGAAAATATAAAATTTGAACAGCTACAACTTGATGAAAAAGTCGCATGAAACAAAGTTCGTTTGAAAACTCTTGAATTACTTTCAGATGCCATTCAGTTTATTTAGAAATTACCTTGTAGTTGTCTTTTTGCCATAAAAAATGTTAAATGTGATAAAAACACCATTTTTGATCCCTTTCATTCCAATTTACTTAAAATTTTAGCAATTTATGCAAATTCTGCCAACGGCATCGTGTTCAGTGTGAAAAAAACCTTCGGGAAATGTACTCTCGCACTTCGGAGAGAAAAAAAGTGATTTTTTTGTCGTACTGTGTAGATCTTCTATTCTCTCTAATGCATGAGAAAAATGGTTTTGATTAAGTTTTGAGAGATATCAACGTACATAGTTGAATGCATTTTGATTATATTGAATTTAATTTTGTCATGACAATTTCTAGATTTTACAATGTTTGGTATTAAATAAACTTTACTATATTATAAGGATTATATTATAAAGCTATTTAAGCGTATAAAGCTTTTTTAACTATTTTTCAGTTGGATATGTTAGAAGATCATTAGACAGTGCAGTCAGGAGTGTTGCGAGCCCGGCATTTTGTTAAAGTCGTACCTAATATTCGCCAAATAATTGGTTATTCGATACATTATTACCGATACATATAATAGTAATATTCGGTCATGTGCCCTATATACTATATTCGTTGCATTTCTATTTTACAAAACTATTTTATATAATTTATGCATAAATTCCCTGATAAAAATAAAATGTAAAACAAGTCAATAAAGCATTAATTGGAGTGTAAAGAAAGTGTAAGGAATAACAGAAACGCAAAAGAAACCCGAAAGAAGCGAACATTGGAGCATGGAACGTAAAGAAAACAGAAAACAAAAAGCACATTGTAGAATAGGCTTAATAATACATTACGCATAACAATTAGAGGATCACTTTAAAACATTTTGCCGATCCATAAGAGACTGTCTTTTAGTTTCCATTAACTTCCAGCGAATCACACCACGAATATTACTGTAGCGTGCCTAGGAGCTGAGTTCAAATTTTAATCAAATTTTAAAACAAGCCCTATATTTTGCAAAATTTTGAATAACTACATATGAAATACAACCTTTTAAGATCGCCAAAATTTGCAGATTTTTAAGTGCTTCTCTAATTGTTGTACGTAGTACATATCATGGGAAAAAATATTATGTAAATGATATTATATTTTAGAGCTGGTAGATTTATGAAGTTCGTGGACGGCTGCGTCCACAGCCGTTATAGAAGTTCCAGGTGCCTTGCAAACTCTGTGACTATGTCCATAATTATGTATAATCTACCCAACAAACGAGAATGGATTGAAATGATTCAGATTTTCAGAAATATTAATTCACGAATGTTAAAATGAATGCATTTCAATCCGGAATGCATTTGTATTCATTTATAGGAATTGCATGGAGCATATCTCTATGCCTTTCAATCTAAAAAGAATATTAGCTTTTTCTGTGCACACAACACACACAATTGTGAATACTGTTTAATTCAAAATTTTGAATAGGCAATACAGTTTCCCAATTGCATCCAATTGAATCTAATTGAAACGAATTGAATCCAATTAAATCCAAAAAAAAGTATTTGCTATTTAAAATATGCATTCGGATAGAAAAAAATTTCAATCCATTTTAATTCCATTCTCGATGAAATACTGACCATTATGATCGCAGTTATTTCGTAGGAACACTTCGTCAAAATCATTATTTTAAAATGTATAAAATATAATGACAAAAACGTCAGCCAGATCGTGACGAGAAATATACTTCACAGTCCGTATGAGAACAATAATAATTATAACTAATGTAAAGCAAGAGGAGGATAATATCTGAAGATGGCTCAATATAAGAGCTGAAACGTAATAATATTTCTAGTAATAATGTTTCTATTATGTATGTATTTAACTCTTATTAATAATCTTTACGTTCATATGTAAAAAAATCGACTCTTATTTGTCCATTTATCGTTATATTGTTATTAATTAATATATATTAGGTGTTGGAATTAATTCGTAGCGTTTTTAAATGAAAGAATGTTATTTATTTCACATGAGCATTAAAAAATACATTAATGAAAGTACTTCCCATCACTTGTAAAACGCTACGAATTAATTCCAACACCTAATACATAATTCTTTCATGTTTTTAATAACATATAACCTCATTAAACGATTATCTTCATGGCTCAACTTATCCTTCGAGGATGCTTAACATGCTCCATAGATGAGGCATATTGATCTATTTTGCATCCTTATAATTAATGTAATTTTAATGACGTTATAATTAACGTAATTCTTTCTTATTTACGAAACATATTAAGAATTTATAAATACTTAATTATTAAGTCAGATAAACGTGGAACATTTTAAAGCATTTACTATTAGTCTAATATTATTCATACATAATTGTATGAAGATTTATAATAATTTAAAGAAAAGGTATCACAACTAGCCTCGCTTATTCTATACATTATTATAAATATATCTTTTTCTAATAACTTAAATATAAATTTATATTTTATTATACAATTTGATTTTTTTATATCAAGCGCATTATTTTATAAAAAAAATATATATAGAATATAATTTTAAAAAATTATTCGAAAAGGTAAAATAATTAATCGCTACAAAATATACATCGGATCCTTGTAAAGTCCCGCAAGAGCTTTTATTATATTTTTATTTCTCCCGCACAAAATATTATTTATACATTAACATTATAGTCGCTACAAAATATTATTTTTATATGTTAATAAATCGTTGTCCTCCTTGTGAAAGAAAATAATTTATACGTTAATATTAAGCGCTAGAAAATGTGCCCAATCTTTGAAAGAGGTGTGATAAATTCCTTGGACTCTACAGAGAGTCAGACGAAAGTTTCACGCAAGGCCATTCGATATTAGAGAAGAGTTATAAAAACAATTGCCCAGTTTATTTTTAAAAAGAGTCCTCGTCATACGTATAATATATTGTTATATAATATATTGTTTAGGAAGATACGGAAGAATTTACATAAAGTTAAGTAAATTACCGATATGCTTTACAATGTTTTTATGTCTTAATTTTGTCGGCACTTGGACCGGCGATAATAACGCTATTATTGGCAGCAATAGCCGTTTCCAGCAGATGATCGTTCCTGTGCTTCTTCATTGTATGATTGTTGTTCTTGCCGGTCAATACCATTAAATCCGAGTGTATTCTAAAGTGCAATCTAGATTCTAATAAGTAGCCCGTATAGTTTTTTCTGAAATTTAAATATAATTATAATTTGCACGGTAATTTCTAATATAAAATCTATGTTAAATGTATAACGTAATATCCAACCCAATCAGCAGACAATGTTTTTTAAATGTTTTTTAAACGTTTATTTCTCATTAATTTTACATTTTTCACGATTCGTTTTGAAAATTCATTAATTTAACGTTTATTTAACGTTTATTTAATGTTTATTTTGAATTTATTTTTTGAAATAATAATTTTAAAAAACATTTTTTAAACGTTTATATATTTAATGTTTATTAAATGTTTATTTTACGTCAATTATTCATTTGAAATAAAGATTTAAAGAAATATTTTTCAAAAATATTTGTTTAACATTTATAAAATGTTTATTTTACATTATTTATTCATTTAAAATGTGATAATAAAAAATATTTATTTCACGTTTATTTAACGTATAGAAATGTTTATTTCACATTAATTACTTATTTGAAATAATGGTTTAAGGAAATATATTTTTTAAATGTTTCTTGAATCTTTTTTAAATGTTTAATAAATGTTTATTTTTTGTTATTTATTTATTTAAAAAAATATGATAAAAAAACATTTATTTAACATTTACCTGACGTTTATTATAAAAATATTATTTTCTAAAGCTCAAATTTAAAAAAAACGGATCAGAATAATAAAATAATCACGGAAGAGAAGTTAACACAATATAATTGCATTAAGTGTATTATATATGGACAATAAGAATTGTGTGCAATGATAGTTATAAATAGCGTGACGGATAAAGTACAAGACTCATAATCCCGAAGTCTTATGTTCAAAACCCAGCCGGTAAGTGAAAAAGATTAAAATATAATTAAAAATTAGGGGTTCCAAGTTACGCATGAAATGCATAGTGAATCATTTGTCTTTGTTGTTTACTAATTAATAAAAAAGAAAAACAATACATCATGCGAAACTCGGAATGCACCCTTAGAATTAATTCATAAAATTAGTTGTCTAATTTAGGCATAGTCGATGAAAAAAAATTAATTTTAAAAAATTCTACATTGTTATTTTTTCTAATTTTGTTCAAATAATTTTGACATTAAAAAACGTTTTTTCAATGTTAAAAGAAATGTTGCTTCAAATGTTAATTAAACGTTAAAAAAATGTTTCTTTAAACATTATAATAAATGTTTTTTTAATAAAAAAAGGGGTTTTTACCCATTATTTTTAAAAATGTTTTTAAAAATGTTTTTTAAATATTTTTAAAAACACTTTTAAAAACATCGTCTGCTATTTGGGAAACTAACTTAGCGTCTTCCAAAAAGCCTATAGCCAGTTGAATATCACCCTGATCTCCCGCCAATAACGCTAATTCCACTGTGGCATAGGGAAATAAGTACGTGTCCTCTTTGACAGACTTTTCCAATTGTAAAACTTGTCGCAGACATTCCTCCGCTAGTAAAGGATGTTGCATTTGTCGTAGACAAGCGCCTTTCAATAGCAATAGGAGTGCTTTGTTGTCTGCATCATAATTACTTTTCCTGCACATACATTACATATTTCTCTTATTACATAACAAGAGAAAAAATTAAAATTGATACTTGTATTTTGTCTTTTAAATATTCTTTGAATGTACAATTCCGAAATTTGAAAACAGATTTTGGAAAGTATTTACTACAAATTTTTCCATTTGAAGCCATTTATGTAATCATATATTTTATAATAAGCACTTATGTTAAAATAAAACTTAAAATTATTGGTAAAACTTACGAGACTGTTTGAAGTTCCTTCTCCTCTTCTTCTATCCTCTTGAATACATTTAACAACAGGTCTTGCCGTTTGCCTACTATCCTGAACAGATTCCATACGTACATAAGCTCAAACACGGGCAGGACTAAGTACTTCTTTTGTGCGAAATAACGTTGGGTCTTTGAGATTATAAACTTTTCCATCGGTAGCGACTTGCCAGCAATACGCTGTTTGTAGGTCGGTGCCAGCATCATTAGGTTGTCGACCAGCTGTTTCTCCTCACTCCAAATCGTCGGTTTCTGCATAAGCAGGATTGCAGCCTTTTGATACAAGTAGATAGTGCGTGACCAATTGGACTCATTTACCAACATCGTGGCATACGTGGCCGCATTACTCCACTGCTGTAGCGAACAGTGCGTCCACATTAATTCCCAATAACAGATATGATGAAACTGTGGCCAAACATTCTGACTCTTCCACGACTTTATGTACCAGTCTATGCATTCCTCGAAATTCCCTCGCGTGAATTCTAGTCTTCCCTTGAAAAACAGGAACCATACACCGTTCGGATAGAGGCTCAATTCCTGTTCCAATACTTGCTCACACCACTCTAGATCGCCGTCCGAGTGACTTAACACAATGCAGACTATCAAATTATAGGACAACAGAGTCATTACACATAGGATTTGTCGCAATCCTCTTCTTTCATCGTAACCTGCTTTTAATTCCATTAAACCATATTCCTAACGATTAAAATTTATAAATAAAACTCTCTGCGTTATATTATATACCTAACATATAATTATATGACATATCCTATAATCACCTTATCGCCGGAGAATCCGATAAACTCTAACAATCTAATAATACGCGCTGGTAATAATGAGATCATCTAAAACAAAGTTTGATTTAATAAAAAGTATGTAATAAAAGATAATATATATTGCAATAAAAATATACAAATACCAAATTGAACGCGCCGATGCCCATGCGAACACCACTCTCGAAATGTACTTTATGAATGTCGTTTTCCCACTTCCGATTTTTCAAGATCGTCATGCATTCTCTGCAAGAGATAATAATTAATTATTAGAGAAATAGAAAATCGACGACAGTCGTTCCGTTGTGACTTATTTACTTGTACGATAGAAAACAGGTACGAATTTTCAGTCCTGCCTTGACAAAGCTGACCAGAGTTTCATCTTCCACAAATGTGAGCATCGATTTTAAAAGGAGCGACTCGGCATAACAGAGTTCCGCATGCACCTCCTCTGCAAGATTAATCCTCGGTCATTCCTTTCATGCACTATACATGACAGCTATTTGGCTATATCCGGGTTAATGTTATTATACATTGTAAAATTGAATCTTGTAAAATATATACAGAGTGTCTGAAAATTAACGATAAAACTCGTATAGATGCAAAATGGATTAAATTGAGTCGAAAAGTCCTCAACCATTTTGAAATTTTCGCAATAGTTAATAAGGTATTAATTATTAAAAATTGCCGAATATTGGTCTTCAATAATTTTTTACTTAAATACTATCAACTTTGCAAAAAAACAGCAAGAGATAAAAATTATTTATTTTCTTTTCATAAAGCTCTAAGAATTTTTTAAAAATGTTTTATCAACTTTTTAGTATTGTATTTTTTATTGACAACTATTTTTACCAACGTGAGGAAATACGGTATTAAAAAATTCTGAAAAAAATTTATGAGAAGAAAATAAACAATTTTTCTTGCTGTTTTTCTATAAAGTTGATAATATTTGAATAAAAAATGATTGAAAATCAATATTCAGCAATTTTTAGTAATTAATATCTTGTTAATTTATTGCGAAAATTGCAAAATGATAGAGGAATTTTCTTCTCAGTTTAATATATTCTGCTTCTATGCGAAAATTTTATCGTTAATTATCAAACACCCTGTATATATGCCTTCCCTAATGAAAATTTTTCTCAGAATTTTTCATATAATTTTTCAGAATTTCTATATAATTTTTCAGAATTTTTATATAATTTTATAACTTTCTCACATTTTTTTATACGAATTGGAACATTCTTCAAAAATTCTACATCTTTTCTCAGAATTTTTCATATATGTTAATTATGAACTATCGTAAGATTTCTAAGATGTTTTATAAGTATAATTTCTGATGAAACATTATAAAATCTAAAAAATTTAAAAATATTTTTTAAAAATTATGGGATGAGAAATTTCAGAATATTTCAGAATTCCCTTGTATGAAAAATTCTGAGAGAAAATGTAAATTTTTCGAATATATCTGAGTATTTCTGAAAAATGTTCCAATTTGTATAAAAATTATAAGAAAAATTTTCACCAAGATTGGTAACAATTTTTAAAAAATGAAGATCAAAAAACCCCAATGGTCTTGAATTTAACATATTATTAAGGTCATTTATACAATATTTTAAAAACTTTAATTATCGTTCGTTTCTTATTAAAAAGTTACATAGATAAATATACGAGTCATAAAATGAATCGTAAATGTAGTGAGAGAACGCACCAAAAGATACAGAGGTTTAAGTCACTTTATGTGGAAAGTTGTAGATGCATCGTGAAATCGTTACAATTTTCCACGCAAAGCAAAATTACATAGATTTATAACTTTCAACGTGAAGCGAAATTCTACATGAATTTACAACTTTCCATGACAAACAACGTTAACAATAATAATTTTAACCTTGATTGTATTGATATCTTTTGTTTTGAATTTTTCGAGTAAGTACTTTAGACGATTATGATCAGTACGTATCAGTCAATAAGTTAGATAACAGATACAGTGGAGATACATGCAATCAAATATTTCTTGCTATGGCATACGAGATTATCATTTTATACATTATCTTACAGAATTTTTATTTAAAAAAGTACATAAAATGAATGTAACAAATGTATATTGAAATGAATGGATTAATATTTTTCTTACATTATAAGTTCTATATAATTTTTTACAGTATAAGTTACACTGAACAATTAACATATTAATTAAAATTTTTTGCATACGTGCTATATATTGTTTATTATTCTTCTAATATATTAATTTCACTTAAATTGGTATATTTCTCAAAATTAGTTTTGTTAATAACTTTTTAATAAGGAATGACCGACGACTAAAATCTTTTAAATGTTGTTCACAATGATGATTTTGATATATATATATCAAGGTCAAAGCCATTGGAGGAATTCTCTGATCTTCATTTTTATATTTATAATTTCTATTAATGCAATAAAGGATTCACGGTAATTGCAAAGATTATAATTAGATTATACATTGTAGATTATTACATTCTATTATATTAATAGGAGAGCTAGCAGGCATGTGTTATACAAGAGCTTATTGTTAATTGTTGTCACATACATTCAAAATGTAAGATACTCAATAATAATATTTTTGTAAATTTAAATCTACAGATCATGTTACATAACAAATGCTTCAATTCACTTGTTATTGAAAATGCTGTTACATAAATTTGACGTCATGATTGTTAGATAATACTCGTTAAATGCTCAATAATCATTGCAGATATTACGTGTTGTTTTAACTACACGTTACATTTGCAACAGATTACCGTTCGTGTAAGTGTCGTAGTTAATCTTCTTGACTATTTTCCCAATGTTCTGCGTAATACTGATGTGCTTTCGGTGTTTGGAACACACGCTCATACACTGTTTCAATTTCTCTGATGCCTTCACGATGTGTTTCTGAAAATTACACATAATACAATTGTTAAAGAAGATAGATTTCGCACGGCTCTAGTCCAAATAAATAAAAAAAATGCTTGATAAGAAAAAACGTAATAAATATCGAAATACTTGTTCGAATGTAAGAATCGCCTCCAGGAACGCGAATACGCTAGTCCCTAGAGAATGGTACATGCTGCTATCCGCCCATGGTTCCATGATTTTTTTCGCTTCATCGAAGTCGTTGTTAAAGAAACAGTGAATCGCCTTTTTCGCTTCCATTATCGCTGTATCCAAATCCATAGACGCGAGTCTAGACAAAAATTTTTTAAACGTTGCAATTAAAAAAAATAATAATGTGCACATAATTATGATATGCATTATTATCATGGAAGTTTCAAGGAAAAAATTATTAATCTTTCCTCCTAAACATCAAAAAAAGAATGCATTGAAGAAAAAGAAGTACTTTAATCAGAAATGACATACAATAAATTATACGTAATAATTATCAATATAATAGCGAGTTTTTATTCTTTAATAAAAAATTCGCAAAGCGGAGACAAATTTTTTTACGTAAAATAATATGTAAATAACATGTAATACGTACTGTGGTAATGATTCCTGAGCATCTTGAAACTGAAATGCAAAAGTGCATATAAAATATGTATATTATTTTAATTTTTACAAAAATATAAATTGACTCAATAAAATATTTACCTCGTCATCGCCTTCAACGTCCGACATTTTCAATTGGTGTTAGGAAATCGTTCTGCAAAGATAACATAATTTTGTTATCTTTAAAAATTGCTCTTATTAAATATTCAATGCACACGTATATATTTATTAACATTTTTATCTTAAATTTTGTATATATTGAAAATTTATCGACAGTTGTACTATTATTGTACTGTCTTAAGAATTTTGAAATATATTATGGAAATGCGCACGTTCCAGTTTTACATTAAAAAGAAACGAGCGTCGCAAAATGAAATTAATGAAAAAACATTGTGAAAAATATTACATTTAGAAAGTTAGACGATTTTAAATTAAGTTGCTTGATTTTAAATTATATTTAGAAAATCGAAGTTAAAATAGTATCATAACCCACAGAAAAATAATTTCCAGTTTTAACTTGATGCGGATCTGGATATCAATAATATATATATATA